TTTTCCGGGAGGAATGCACCAGACCTGCGAGTTGGAAAATCTAAAGTGGGGAGGAGGGACAGTAGGAAAGTTAACCGGTTCTGCCTCACCTTAAACAAGGAAAACAAAAACGTCTTCCGGGCTAAAAATATAAATTTAGAAAGTCCCAATGCACAGGCGAGCGGCGAGTTCCAGCTGCCGGCCTGGCCCAGGGAAGACTTGGCCGAGCGGCCGCCCATTACACCCAGCTCGGCTGGGATGGCTCCGAGCCGTCTGCCCTGACGTCAGCGAGGCTCCGGGCCCCGCCGCGGCGAGATAGGCAGCGCGGCCGGGCGCGGCGCTAATCACTCCCAGATGTCCCTAATAGCGGAGATAAAGACGGACGGAGCGGCCGGGAATAAATTTGTAATCAGGGCTCCACCATCTGATCATCAAAGCGGCCCAAATGCCGGGAGAATTTGAAGAGAATGTGTGTGTAGGGAAGGGGGGGGGGGTTCGTGTTCAGGGAAGAGGAGGGGGCACGCTCCTCGAAGGGAACTGGCTTGGCCACGGTAGAGCGAGAAAACCGGGAGAGAAGCCTAACTTCTGTGCGCAAGTAAATCAGATACGCAGGGTACTTTAACTTCCACGAGCCCAGAGCCAGCCTGGCCGTAGCCGCTGGGCTGCTCCAGGCCAGTTAGACCCCGGCAGGCAGTTGCTGTGAGCCAAGTGCGCATTGCGCAGCGGCTGGATGGTCAGGCGGCGCGCTCAGAGCTAGCCGTTTAGCTCCCCCCGGAAATGTGGGATTCGTTTCCTCCCCTGGAGTTTGTCCCCCACCCCACCTCCCCTTATAAGCAGTTAAAAAAAAAAAATGCGTTGTCCTCCTTTCTGCTGGTAGACCTATATCAACAGCACGGCTGAGCTCGAGCCCTGGTCCTGGGCCCCAGCCTGAGGGTGGCTCCAGGGTCTTTCTCTCGGAAGGATCCTTGGGCTCCGACGGACCCGGAGTCCTGTTGGTTCCGAAGATCCTGTAGCACCCCTTCCTCGCACTGGGATCTGGACCACAAGAGTTGGGTCTAGTGGTTGGATTCCTTCAGGCCAAAAGATCCAGAAAAGATGGGAAGTGCTCAGATTCAGCTCTCTACAGGGTATGCGCCACTAGCCTCCTTTCCAGATCATCTTCGCTTGGCATCTACCGCCAGTCTTTTTTCCAAATCCAAGCACGTGGCTGAAACTGGCGGCCTGGGAGAACGCACGGCAACTGTGGAAGAGAAAATCGCCAGACGCACGCGCGGCGTTAGACATAGCGTTTCCTTAAAGGCACAGGAATAACTGAGAAGTTTCCCGCGCTTTGCAGACCCGCAATGCTAACACAGTCCAGGCTATTGTGGTATACTTTGCCCAGTTTACTGTCCTCTGCACACGCACCTCAAGCCCTCGCAAATGGCACGGCTCTTTCTGCAAAGAGCTCGAAGGCCTCTTTTCAATTCCTGTGGCTTTGCACTTGAGATCACTCTTTCTTACCCTCGACACCCCATCCCGCAAAATCCGTGTGCACACAACATACTCACCCTCCTGTTACCTTAACAGCTGGGTGAGACACCAGCTCTGCGATCATCGCGGCGCGGTGGGGGTGGGTCTGCCCTCCCTGGCGCCACTACTGCCCCCACCTTACCGTGGAGACTACCAGGCTGCCTGGTCCTGCCACACTTGAGGAGGGCAGCCTAGGCTGGGGGTCCACCCTTCCTAGGTGCCCTACCTACTGGCTATTCCTCTCGGAGGCCGGAACTTCCCATGGATCCCCCGAAGGGGGACCCTGGAATTTAGAAGGCAAAAGAATGGCAGGTGATCTTGCTGTCATCTTCTTGCCGTCTTGACCTGAAAAAGCTCTTAAAGCTGCCATCAGTGTCCCAGCTGGGGGGTGGGGGGGACGACAACCCTGGAAAACAGAACCTGGGAGCAGGGAGTGTGCTTAGGTCCCCCTCTCTTGAGTTTTCCAAGTCATTTCTCAAGAAATTGAGAATGGGTTTGTAGGGATGAACACACACACACACACACACACACACACACACACACACAGCAGCGAGCCCTAGCCCGGCTTGTGCTCCAGGGTTATCAGGCGCTCGGCCTGCGCGGCGGTCTGGGGCCGAACCCTGACAGCCAGATCTACCATCAATTTACCTTCCGCCGCCCCAGCTTCCCATTTAGCTTTTAACGTCAAATCCTGCATTTTTGTCGGCTCCGGCCTGTCTAGAGAGCTTGTGATTTCGCTGCAGGAGTGATTGCTTTTAACAAAATGGCAGCAACCACATTATCCGAGCAATTAAAACAGAGACCTTTTAGCCGTCCCGCAAGGCAGGAACTTGATTTTTTTTTTTTTTTTTAAGGAAAGAGAAAGGGAGTTAAAAGAGATATAAATGTCTAGAAGAGAAAAGCATGGAAGCCCATGGCACAAGAAACTCCTGCCCAGCACACTGCTCACTTGCTCACTTTCCTGCGACTTGACAACGTGGGGCAGGGACGTTGGGAGGCTGGAGTGACTCATAATCTGGGTGTTTCACCGGTGGGAGTGTCAAGCCAGTTAAGGTGTGCGTCTGGTTAGGTAGTTTGGGCTCCTGGGTTGTCGGTTCTGCTGCAAGTCTGGCTTTCGGGTTCCTGGCGGGTAGGAATGTCAAGGTTGTTGAAGTGTGGGGTCTTCTGCTGCTGCTGGGCCCGAAGAAGCAGCAGGGCAGGCAGGAGGGGAAAGGAGAGGAGGCCGGCAGCCCCTGGCCCAGGCCAGACAAAGAGGACGGGTTTCTTGAGAGCGGGTTTACAAGCTTGTGTAGTAGCAAGCTGCCCCGTAGCCACGGTGCTGCCAGGGTTTTCTGGTTCCCCTCGACTGGTGTTTAATAAACCAGAAAAAGTGTTAAACTAGCAGACATGCATTAAGGCCCAGATGGCGAAGTAGGCCAGCTACTAAAGGCAAGCGCAAGCACACATGCATGATGAAGACACCTCCTCTCTGGCTCCTGTTCTGAAAACCTCACTGCGCCTCTCCACCCTTCACTACTTCGGTAGACGCTTTCCATCGACCCCTAGGATCTGGTCGGTGTCTTTCTCTTGAACGGATTAAAGTAAAAACGCCAACGGTGGCAGGAGGCAGGAGAGGGAGGGAGCCACTCGGTCAAACGGACAGGGATCCCGAGAGTAATAGAAAAATCAGGGCGCGCCTCCCTCCGCCCCCCAGTGCTATAAACAAAGGCAAGTGTCTGTAAACACAGCTCCGCGCCCACCACGTCGGCCCAGCGCCGGCTGACCCGAGGGGAGAAAGTTCAGATCGCTTTGGCCGAGTTGTTCTAACCCCTCGCCCTCGCGTTGTCAGCTGCCCGCAGAAGAGACCCGCAGAGCCGCTCGCTGTCTCTCCCCCGGCACTTGCGAATTCGCCTGCTGCAGGCGGCGGGCTCACAGTGGGCACCGGCCAGGCGTGGGAACCGCTGGGATATGGGGGAGGGTCTGTGCCCGAAGCCGAGGTGCGAACATCACCCCGAGGATGGGTTCCAAGATGGAAAGCCTCTGGCAAGCCTCCCTAACACCAGATTTATATACGTGGCGTTTCATGAAACAAACCGCTTTTTAATACGTTTCACCTTTCTTCTCTCCCCACGTCCTCACTCCTGAATCCCTCCCCCTTTTTCCCCCCTCCCGGGCCTGCCAAGTCCTTCAAGGCACACCAGTCTCCCTGGTTCCTAGCGCGGAGATTTAGGCTCCAGCCCAGACCACGGGCAAAGGAGGCTTCAGGGACTTCCTTCCGGGTCGTGCTGGGACTCGGGGAGACCAAGCCTCGGAAGGGGTAACGTCCCAGGAGGCTGGCAGTCGGGGAGGGAGCCGCTTGCTTGGCTGGCAGGCGGCCGGGAAGACTGCAGATACCGCAGTTAATATTGAGTTCCCTGCAGCTCCTTGTAAATCTAGCCCCCACCCCCCACCCCCTTTAAACCCTTGGTCGCATTCGAGATTTCTTACTTGATGTCACCTAAGTTCCTTGTTACCTAATCAGGGATTTTTCCGAGGGCCTTCCCTCTCCCCCCAAGCCTGCTCAGAGGAGAATCCACCCCCACCCCCGACCCGCGACCCGCCCCCCCGCCCCGCGAGCCCACGCACAACCTCCTCTTTTCTCTTTCCTTCCCCCACCTCCTTTCTTAGATGAAAGCCCTATATTTTAAATAAAAGGCTCTAACGCCTGGGATCCTCTCCAAACCTCCTCAACTGAAAGGGTGCTCCCCAACAAAATCCTATGTCCCCACCGAATGGCTTCTGGCTGATTTCAGGAAAACTAGGGCACCTTTCCACCTTCTAGAGGAACTGAGGCCTTTCTCCAGCCCAGACCCTCCTCCTGCAGCTCACTCAGCGTTCTCCTGGGGGCTGGGGCGAGAGGGGGCAGGGGGGTGTGGGGGGGGAGGAGCCCAGGCGCTGTGGCAGGATTTTCATCAAGGACCCTTCTCTTTAAGGGACCACCACGCCCTGGGAGGACTGGTGCTCAAGGTGATTGGTCGAAATCACTGACTCTTTCAAATAAAGTTAGAGGCAATCATGATAATTTAGTTTACTTCTGAATATTTTAAATATTATGAAAACAAATATAACAGTTTTGTTTTCAAAACTCTTTTGAGGTATCAACTATTAAAAGATTGGGGTTTTGTAAAAAAACACACAGTGGTTTATTGAATACTTACAACGTTTACACCTTCAATATTAATTAAATTCCACTTAGTTTTAGAGGACGGAAGTGCACAAAACAAGTAGCTGTTGGAAACATCTTCAAATAGAGAACAACCACAGATGAAACGACAGCACTAGATACCGACCCCAACGGAAATGTTAGCGGCCCCGTTTTCTGTTTTGAAATAAAGCTTTATAATCCCCAGAAATATTTATATCCAAAGGCCAATTGTTAAAGATACACTTCACATACACACCAATGTCCGCTGTCTTTTATCTGGAAAGGGGTGGGCAGGTGGGGTGGGGGCCACGCTGGTGTCTACACAGCCAGGAGGAAACATTCAAACACAGAGAATCTACGAGACGACGGGATCCCTTACCACGCGGGAGTGTCCTCTTCATATTAAAATATGGAATGCTTTTCTTCAAATATCCACTATTTTTGGAGGGGGAGGTGGGGAGCGGCTGCCTCAAAGGGGGGCGAAAAGAGGGGAGGCAAATTGCACATAAATAAACCGGATGACTCCAAATGCAAGTAGTCCTCGGAGCGGAGCGCGTAGAGCTTGCCCGGAGTCCTGGGTCTACATCCGGCTCCTGGGCCCCAGCTCACTAGCGCTCTCCTCCTCCTCCTCCTCCTCACTGCTTGAGCTCCAGGGCCCAGACGTGCTGGGGCCAGCCCGTCCGGCCTTTGCTTTTCTTGTCGTTGCTGCTCACTGTGCTTTTCAAGATTTCGTTCTGGGCAGAAGGGAGATGAGGGGGAGAAAAGTGGAAAGAGAAATTCAGAGAGGAAACCTGCTTCCACACCACCCCCGCGCTCCCCGGGCTCGAGGAGACAGTGAGACCAGGAGGAAGGGATGGGAGGTGGGATGGCTTTAATTCCTAGCCCCTGCAGAAAAGCCACGAAGATTCGCGCTGTCCTGGCTACAGCCCAGGCCGCCAAGCGCCTGCAAAGCTCAACTACCAGATCGGCACGTTTATAAGGAACCACCCGATTTCAAGTCGTTTATGGAGGAGCTGGAGGCCCTTAGCGGGGGCCGGTGCTAAATGTGGTGTCCCCGGTTTCAATCGCAACCCCAGACCCGCGCTTTCAGGAAGAAGGGGAGAAGTTCCTTGGCCCTGACTCGGGCCTGCGGGCCGGCGGTTCTCGGCCCCCAGCTCAGCAGTGCCTCTCTTCCAAGGCCTCTGAAATCCCTGCTTATTCTGGAGGTCACTCGTTTATGCAGCGACTGAAGCACCACAGGCCCCAAAGAAGAAACACTCGACAAATGGGATTATTTTTCAGGCCCCTTTTGGCAACAGCCTTGCTCTGAACACCATCACCTGATAGGAACTTGGTAGGGACTTGAGAAAAACTAATCTTCAGCTACAATTTCGAGTTACTGTTAACAACAATAGCAATGATGATAGTAATATTTACTATTTGTCTTAAAATGTGTAGGTCAATGCAAAAAAAGAAGAAATACCCATGAAATGTACTCATCTGATAAGCTACATTTTAACCTCATCGCCAAAGAGAAACTGGAGCTGCATGTTGAAGTTAAAAGTGCTTATTTTGTGTTTACCTTTACGTCTTCAGGGCACAGTTAAGAACAACCATAAAACTCTTAGAATCAGTGGCGGCCTCGCTCTCAAGAGGTGGAAATGGAATCAAAAGTAAAGTAATTGGAATTGAGAGTTTATGGGCGATTTATTCTTGGACTATCTCAAAACATCGGATCGGAGGCCCAATGCAGTTCTAAAGGTCACAGGATGAGGGTTCTGGGCCAGTGCTATCGGAAGATCAATCGCGACTCTGAGACTGCGAGGTCCGCCCTAAGTGCCTGGGGGATCAGCGATAAACCCGAGGGAAGATCACCAGCGCGGAGTATCCCCCTTAACCTCCTCCTCCTGTTGACACCCTCCCTCGGCTCCTCTGCCTCTTCGGGAAACCATCCCTACCGCGAGCTGGTGCGAACAACCTGGGCTCAGGACGCAGCCAAAGAAAGCAGGATGCCATTGCTCAGCCCATGTGGAAAAAGACAGGGAGCACCGGTCACGCGAACCCCGCACTCCCACTGCCCGATGCCCCCCGGTACTAACCAGCTCTTTCTTCCTTTTCTCTTCTTTCACATCTGTCTTCTTGATTTCCGCCTTGAAGGCCTCCGCCTCGCCGTTCTGGTCGTCCTTGGCCAGCAGGTCCATGAGGTAGGCGATGTAGCTGGTGGCCAGGCGTAGTGTCTTGATCTTGGAGAGTTTGGTGTCGGCGGGCACGTTGGGGATGCACTCGCGCAGTTCGGCGAAGGCGCTATTGATGCTCTGAGTCCTGCGCCGCTCCTTGCGGTTGGCGGTGCCCCGGCGCTTCACGGGGCGCGGCCCCCCCAGGCCCGGGGGCCCGGCGCCCGGCGGCACCCCCCCGTAATGGGAGTGGTCCAGGCCGGCGGCGCCGCTGGCATAATCGGGGCTGTAGGACAGGGCCATGCTGTAGTCGGGGGGCGACATCTCGGGGTGACCGATGAGCCAGCCATGGAAGTAGGGGTTCTCCTCGTGGCTGCAGCGGCTGGCGGCGGCGGCGGCGGCGGCGGCAGCGGCAGCGGCGAACGGGTAGCCCTCATGGTGCACCACCGGGTGGTGGGGGAAGCCCCCCACCAAACTCATCTCGCCCTCCGCGCCCCTCCACGCGCCCCAGCGTGCGCGCAGCCCCGCCGCGCCCTCGGCCCGGGCCCCTGCTTCGGCGCTCGGCGGCCTCCCCCACCCCCCACCCCCCAGCCGCGGGGCGCCCGGGCCGGCCCGGCAGCCGCAGAGGGGGCTGCTGCAGCCCGGGACCCGGCCCCCCGCCTGGCCGGCCGGGCCCGCCTCAGCAGCGCTGCGGCCGCCGACTCCCCATGGGGCGCGGCGAGCTGGTCCCGGCACCGTGCGCCCTTGGCCGCCGCCGCCGGCTCCCGCCTTGCTCCACGGCCCGCGCGCCGGCTGCTGCTTCCCGGGGTGCTGAGGGGACGCCGAATCTTCGGGTGCTCATGCAAAAGTGCCCGGCTCCCGCGATGCTGCTTCGCGGAGTTGCAGGGCTCCACGCCCCGGCCGCGCTCCTGGCACCGAGTCCCGGGACGAGTCCGAGCCGCCGTTGGAGGAGCCGGCCCGGCTCTGCAGGGAGGCGGCGGGGTCGACTGCTCACTGCGAAGCTACCTTCATGCGACCCTCCCCTTCCCGCCCCTTCCCCTCCCCCCACCAGCCCGATCTGGGATCTTGGGCGCTTATTGTTTTAATGATATTTTTGGTGGTTGTTGTTATGGTCCTTGAATGTGATTTTAGCTGCGAGTAACGTGTCCTCGCTCCTCTAGGGCTCCCTCGGAGGGTTTTCAGAGAGGTCTCAGTGCATCCATTTTCTCAGATCCTCTCCTTCTTTCGGGGGAAGGATTTGGGGCCCTGCGGTCGCCTTGGAGCGCGAAGACCTTCGGCTCGGGCTGTCAGAGGGGTCTGCGCGGTGGCCAAGGGAGTTCCCCGGGTGGCGGCTGCGGCGGTTCTGGGCTGGACGCCGTGAGGGGACCAAGCGAATTTTCCCAGCACGATCTCCATGTACAGCTACATCTTTAGGGCCGCTCGGGTTAATATATGTCGTCAGAGGCTCCTCACGCCAATCCTGGGGCGGCGGGGGCGGCGCCTCGCGCTCTCCGCAATAAAACTTTTTGATGTTCTTTTTGCTAATTGCCGAGGTCCTCTTCGAGGATTGGCTGCCCCTTCATAACCATAAGATAATTAAAACGAGGGGGGGGCAGGGTTAAAAAAACTTTTTTATCAGCCAGAGGTTAATGCAAGTGTTTAACAGATGCTTCATTATTAAAATATTTTTTCCTCACGTCTCAAATATTGAAGAATCTCAAACCAGGTACAGTACCGCCGCGCTTTTTTTTTTCTGGTTAAAAAAATAGGATGTAGATACTGCTTTTCGAAGTGTTTGGTAGGTAAGCGAGGCAAAAAATTCAGCAGGCGTACGGGTGCAGTTTTGTGCGGGGCAGAGAGCAGAGGCCGCCGGGCCCCCACAAAGGGGCGGCCGAGCCGAGCAGGGCGCGGGGCGCGGCGGGGAAGCGGCCGCTTGGCCCGGGGCGCAGGCTGGAAACTCCTGGCTCTGTCTCCCTTCACTTACCCACCGTAGTCCGGGCCTGGGCGTTTGGTATGGCTCATGCTATTGTGGCTACTTTCGGAGATCATGGTTGAGACCCCCGGAGGAACGGTCAAGCCGATTGTAAATCCTCTCATTCCCATATTCTGCAGGGACACCGGTCCTCGGGAAGACCTTGGGCGGTTTCAAAGCGCAGGCACCTCGATTCCTCGAATTTGTGGTGTGGCCAGTATCCGTGTTCCCCAGGTTTAACTAGCCTGTTTGGTAAGTAACTGAATATTTTTTACAGCGTGTTCAGAGCTTATTTTCCAGTTTTTATGAACAAACATATAAATATATCTCCGCATTCCTGCCTCTCCCATAAAAGCGGGCATCTGTGGAAAGCAGGTTTAGTTATCGGAGGGGAACCATTAAACACCAGTTTAAGAGGCAGGCCAGGAGGACGGCTCGTGGATGTTTAGACTGCTGGCCTTGCTGATCTTGAACGCATTATAACGGAAAATGGATCTCCTCTTGTAAGTCACCGGGCGGCAGGGCTCCGGGCCGGGCGCCCCTGCGGCGCGAGCGGCTTGAGAAGGATCGCAGGAGACTCGTTGGGTGAAGGGCGGTGAGAATGGACAGTGGCAGGAGCCGAAAGGGTCCCCCAGGCTTGGCCGGGAGCCTCGAGGAGAGGCCGATGTGTTAGATGAGGGTGGTGGATGAGGATTCCACTCGATAGAATTCCGTGTGGAAAACGCTGTCCACAGAAGCCTGCGGGATGTAAATAAGAGGGACGGGGGGAAGAGTGCGCAGAAGCCCGTGCCGGCCTGGGCAGCCTGGGACGCACTGCTGGGCCTGGCCAGGGTTGCCCAGGGGAGACCAGCAAAGCCACCTTGGTCATCGTCTTTGGGAGGCAGGCCGCAAAGTACGCGAGGACAGCCCTCCCTTGCCTTCTGGGTTATTTCCCGTGGGGTACATAATTCAGGGATGGAAGACAAGGTCCGGAGAATGGAGGGCAGGGTTAGGGGGCATCTAACTTTGATGCTGCCAGGGATTTGAGGCCCCGGTCAGCCACTACCGCCCGGAGCTCTGTGCAGCAGTACTGAGAAATACTTTTTCAGGTTTGCTGCTGCAGGGTGGTAGGACGGGGGGAGGAACTCAGGGACATAGAACATAGGCCGGGTGTCCATACCAGGTCCATTCTGTCCTCTTGGCAAGAGGTCGGTTTCCCTGGATGCCCTCAGCTGAACGTTCTTAAGTCAGAGAACGGGGAATGGAGAGTAGCTTGAGACAAATTCGTTGGTACGTTTGTGGAGCTTGCCTTTGGGCTCTGAACAGAATAGGGATCTAGAGTTTCGAACCTCCAGCTTGGGTGGGTCTGCAGTTTTGAACACAAGGAGAGTCTTTTTCAGACCTTGTTCTTCTAGGAAAGAATATAAGTAGTGTGGTTGGGATTCTGTTTACATTTTCACCCAGAGGCAAACCCTGAATGTGTAAATACTGGTAGTTCAATCCCCTGACATTTGATACATTAAAAAAAAAAAAAAAGAGGATCTGTTTATAAAAATACATCTAGGCTCTGGGAGCAAATAGACAAAGTAAGATGGTTGCACCCTGACTGGGAACAGATACAAATTCACGGAGGGTAGTTGGGAGTCTGCTTTCAGATCCACAGGGAGTTTTGAGAATTGAACAAAGTAAGAAGAGACCTGGGAGAGGGTTGAGTTGGAGATTAGGATGCTATGTCCACCAGAGGCAAGTGGCCTCAATGGGGAAGGCTTCAGGACTTGCCTTTCTCGTGATCGGTTAGTTGAAACAACAACAACAAAACAAGCGAGTCCCTTTATGGTCCCAGATAGCATGGCAAGTGATAAAAGAGATGAACAACATGGGACAGAAAAAAGTCGTAAAAGATGCTAATCTGAGCATCAGTCCTCACTGACAGTGTCATTATCAGTTAATTAATGTGGTCCAAGGGTCTAGGGCTTCATTTATCTCAGGAAGCCAAACCCAGAGGCTATGGCCTTAGAAAGACAGCTTGGAGGCAGGAACATATGGGTGAACTCTACTGTCTTCCACTGTATTTACTGACTCAGCGGCCAGACTAGCTGAGCTCCACTCTGAATTCCCAACCAAATGTGGCCACTTTTCCCCCCTTAGTATTCTCCTTGGCACATTTTGCTCCAGGTTTATTGGGATGCTGGGTTAGCTTGCTGCTTTGGAAAGCTGTGAGGCAAAGATGCCATCTCCAGTTTGCTCCCAATGTAGGTGGCCTTTGCCTTCTTGAGAGATGGTAGCGATGAAAGTGATGGTAGTGGTGGTGATGGAGGGGGAAATTAGAGGGGAAAAAAAGGAAGGAGGGTGTAGTCCCAGGCTTAGATGTCAGCCCAGAGACCCCACCCCAGGATGTGCTAGTGTGACTTCTGGCGTGCTGCTCCCCAAAGGGCACTTTTCCGCGTACTCAGAGGGCCCAGCTGCTGAGATGATGTTGGCTGGGGGCAGTCCTGGCATGGACACCCATGGGAGGAATCCTGGCGAAGCCATACTTCCTACCTCTTCTTTTCTGAGACCGGGGGCTGCAATTCATCTTACCCTGGTCGGTGTGGAGACCGCTTCCTAGGGGGCCACCCTGGTTTGGAAGAATGTTTGTGATTCTGTGTCCCAGTCTTCCGGATCATAGCTGATGGTGTACTTACTGCGCTGTGCATTACATCTGCCTCCAACTAAACAGACAGAACCAGGCTCAAACATTTATTTTGTGCCCATGTCTCTGTCTCTTTCCCTTCGCTCCCACGTCTTCCCCTGGAAAAGATTCAAAGAGCACCGGAGAGCCTGAGCACCCCCTTGAAACATTTTCGTCTTGTGAGATACTACTTTTAAAATCAATCTGGCTTAAACTAAATATTTTTTTTAAAACTTCAGTCTGTTTTCAGGGGAAATACAGATCTTATTGAGGTATTTATTATTCCAAAGGCAAGGGCAGTTTGTATCTTGTGTTTTGCTCATGAGAACTCAAAATAAACTGGACCTGAAAGGAACCAGGCCAAAGGGCCATAAACACACGTTTTATGTTTACGGGAATTATGGCTCAATTCCCTTCATCGTTTTTCAAATCTCATTTTACCTTCTTTTCCCAACCAACATAGAAGTTACTGAGCATTCCCTTATTTATCTATAATGAGTGACCCCCAGATGTGATAAGAACACTGGAAATGCATCCAACCCAGAAGGTGGCAGAAGAAGCAATGTGTTCTTGAAGATGGAACCCCAGCCCCACCTGCTCCAGAGATGGTGCTTCCTGTGACACCCGTATGGTTCTGCATTCCTGTCTGTACCAGGGTGGGACCGAGTCATTTTTACATGCTAACTGCTTAGTTTCAGAACCCCTAGCACACCTAGAAGGCAGCTTATTGCCTGAGTGGTATGGCGGCAAGGGTTTCTCTAACTGAGGCTTCGTGGGTCCTCAACTCCTCGTTTTCCTTTTCGGAAATAGTTGTCTACAGACATGGCAAGTGACCGTGGCTCCAGAAATGAGGTGTTGCCCATGGTGCACATCTACAAA